GTTCTGAGACGTGCTCTTAGGACTGCGCATGCGCACTGACTGTTCTAGCCTGAAAAATACGTTTTTTTATAATGCTATTTCAGCAAAAGAAAACAACATTGATGAAAGACTTCTTTGGTGATTTCAAATATGAAATTTAATCATAAGCTTAGTGAACAGTTTTGGAGAATTTGATGTTTCCCCATTCAAAGGGATAGGAGCTGCACTTGCATGCCTGAGAGGCATTTTAAAGATGTCCGCCGAGTGACATGACTTGCCTTAAAGGAGACATATTTTGCCCCTTTTTACAATATGTAATATAAGTCTCAGGTGTCCCCAGATTGTGTCTGTGAAGTTTTAGCTCATAATACCCCACAGATCATTTGTTATATAATTTTGAAAATGCATATTTTGAGTGGAAGCAGAAACATGCTGTTTTCGTGCATGTCTCTGCTAAATGCAATGAGCTTCTGCTCCCACTCCCTTTTCCATAATAGGGCTGTGCCTTTACAGTTCGTACCTCAGATACTCTGCTAAAAAACACCTGTTTGGTTTTGATTATTATGTCTATAGTGCTGAAATCATAAACCATATTAGTTTAAACTTCTGATATACAGTTTTCTGACAGAATGTGTCTGTGAAGTTTCAGCTCAAAATACCCCACAGATGATTATATAATTCTGGAAATGCCTATTTTGAGTGGAAGCAGAAACAGGCTGTTTTCATGCATGTCTCTTTAAATTCAAATGAGCTGCTGCTCCCCGCCCCCTTTTCCAGAATAGAGCTGCGCCATTACAGCTCGTACCTGCTAAAAAAAATCTGTTTTGGTTCTGATTAACATGTTTATCATGCTGAAATTATGCGTTTTAAACCATATTAGTTTAAACTTCTAATATATGGTTTTCTGAGTGCACACATCCGAAGCACACGGACAGAAAGTGGCTGTCACACGGCATGTGAGTACTAAAAACTAAGTTCTCTTTCACACACAAGTTTACTTTAAAAACACACGAATTACAAAAACAGTCAGTTATGTCTGTGAAGGTAAACAGCTGGGAAAGGAATCACATGATTTCATTAGATCTGTGTGGCAGCAGCAATATACAGTAAATAAATCAATAAATCCACTTCTCTCTTGTCTCCTCTGAGGCTGGGACT